CGGTTGCTTGTTTAATTGCAAAACCCAAATAATCTCTAAAGAAAAGAAGCAAGCACCTGCCTTGTTTATGGCTTGGCAAGCCTGATAGTACTGCAATTTTTAGATTGTCATCTTCGAGTTAATCACAGAGAAAACTATTTAACTCGAGAAGTATACATTCTAGTTAAGTCTAGCTTAAATATTGGAATAACGCCTTTAACTATACGTGATTTCTCGTTGTAAACTACTGTTCTGCAAGAATGGTACCGTAGTTACGATTCTCTGTACTTTCCTCACAAATCTTTTAATATTTGGCTTGAGTAAATAAATGTGGCATACACTTGGTGTTATAGTGTTATAGAGCACTAAGCTTTACTGAATGAACGTCAAAACAAAACACATTGTAACCTTCTATAAGGGAATTTTGTCGATATTGATATCCTATGGCGGCCATCTTGAAAAAAGCCGCCACATTGAAATTTCAAGTTGGGTTCATAGCTTATATTGTTATAAGTACCCAGCACTACTAACATGACAAATTTGAACTTATCTAAGGAATATTTGTTGATTTTGATATTTTGTAGCGGCCATTTTGGAAAAAGCCGCCATTTTGGAAAAAGCTGCCATATTGAATTTTCATGGTGGGGTCATAGCTATCATTTTTTCAAAACAACCAGCACTACTGCCATACCAATTTGACCATAAATTTGACCTTATATAAGTGATATACGTTGATTTTGATATTTTATGGCGGCCATCTTGGAAAAGTCCGCTATTTTGAAATTTCAAGGTGGGTCCATAGCTTATATTATTTGAAACACCAAGAACTACACCATGCCATATTTGGTGCTTTTGTCATCAAACACACAATTTTTTTCCGATCGGCCGGACTATTTCATACGGTTGAATATAACATAATTATGAAATGTTAATATAAGTTAATAGGTCTTTTCCGGATCCTATCAATGATTCAACTGTTTAGATATGTTCATGCCGATTTTTATTTATTATACAACTTGAATTTGATTGATAAAATGCGTTTAAACTATACCCGTTGTTGTCCCTGTTGTATTCAGAGGTTCTGCATATACCCCTTCCAGAACGCACGAAATGTTTAATATTAACCTAAATATTGATCAAATATTATAATACAATTAATGAGAACCGATATGCGTTACGTAATAAATTCATGATGGCTTGATTATGGTATGAAACGTATAGCTTCGTACCGTGATGCGAAGCAAATATTTAGTTAGCTTAACAAACTACAATATACAATACAGATACATAATATGAACCACAAACATATGCCAAACATATGTCCAGTTTATTAGCAATTTTGTGTAAATCCTAATTGATCTTATCCATTACGATTAGCATAGTACATGTTTTTTGACAACACAAACAGCTGTGCAAGTAATGACGGTTTATTCTTGTTATAGAGCCATAGTTAAATCATACCAGTTCACACATTAGTGACAGGGATTTGATTGGTTTGTTGGTTATCATGATACATGAGTAATTACCAACTGGTCTAAAACAAGTTCCGTAAAATGTTAATTTTGCAAACATGTTTTATTACGAAATTAACATTAATCACTGTACAAAGGTTGTTGAAAAATGGGACCAGCTGAGTTATTATAAATTAATGAACATGTTTCTCTCATGCAAAGCTCTGATTCCTTGTACGGCTTGCCTTTACTTTTTGCCCTTTTTTGGTTTAAAAGCTCTTCATTGTTTTTAAATTTTATAATTTGTAAATGTTTTGGCATCTAGCCTCACTGAAGGAACATGTATTGTCGATATGCGCATCTGGTACACAACAAATGTACCGTTAATGTTATCCCTATCATTACACATTTTGTTTTTTAATAATGCCCATAAAATTCTGCATATTTTAGTCAATCTTTCGACAATGGAGCTCTTAGAAATGGTGGCATAAGATTAACAAATCATTGGAATTGCACATTTAAAGCGGGATGTGTTTTATATTGTGCTGTTGCACCTCTCTATCAGGTTACATGCATGGGTTAAACATTTTGTCATGTAGGGGTCTTTTTAAACTCACTGCACGGTATGAGTTTTGTTGCTTGTTGTAGAACTATAATTGTTTAAAAATCTCCATTATTTGAACTCTGTTGGATAGTTGGTTAATTGGCAATCATATCACATATCCTTATCTTATATTCATTTATTAGTTGTACTAGGCTTTAAACTATCAATCCGTAGCGGCCAGTAGTCTTTGATCGATACAATGTATCTTTTCACTTACGTAAGTTGTGTTTTTTCTTTGTGCCGATATGATGAGTCAACCCCTTTCCAACAGATTTTAACAATTTGCTTTTATGCTGTTACAACTCCGTTTAATGCTTTAACAAAATCAGACTGTTGCATGGTGTTTCTTGTTTGACTTGATTTATATTATTCCTACCTTTTAGAGCTTACTTTACGGTATTGGTTTTAATCATTGTTGAAGGCCGTGCGATGACTCACATTTGCTTACATCCACTTTTTGTGATATTTTTTTTTATAGTTGGCTTTATAAAAAATAAAAAACACATCCTCATTTTATTTAGCAAAATTAAAAATATTTTAATTTCAATGTCAAATGGAGAACCTATTTTTGAAAAAGATGTAGTTTTGAAAAGACGAAAACATCTGCATCATAATCGGATAAATAAAGTCAACAGTAGTATACCCCTGTTCAATAGTCATAATTTGATTAAGCAAAAACAAATCCGGGTAACAATCTAAAACCGAGGAAACACATGAACTATAAGAGGAAAACAACGTCACGACACAAACACTGAACTACAACAAAAGCAAACAGCAACATACATAGAAACGGACTGTTTGATAACAACTGCCATATTCCTGACCTGGTACAGGACAATTTAAGAAAAAATGGTGAATTGAACCCGGTTTTATGGCTTGCCAAACCTCCTGCTTATATGGCAATGTTAATAATACCGCTAAAATGACAACACTACGTGACAGGAATACAATACTTACAAACGCAAGAACACTCAGCACAGAGAAATACATAAATAAATAATATAATTATAGTACATTACAAAATGTAAACAGCAGAAAAACAACGTACACCAAACGACGAAATATAAACTGCGTGTCACATGAATGGATCAACGTCACATAAAAGTGACGTATTTTTTGTGACGTTTATATTATCACAGGTAAATTTCTAAAAATAAAATAGATTCCTTCAAATTGATATTTTATAGTGTGTTTTTCTATGTTGTGATGTTATACAATTGTTTCAGAAAAGGGAGAAGGTTTGGTACCATTAAAACGTTTAATCCCGCTGCAAATGTTTGCACCTCTCCTAAGTCAGGAATCTGATTACAGTAGTTGTCGTCTGTTTATGTAGTTCATACGTGTTTCTCGTTTCTCGTTTTTATATAGATTAGACCGTTGGTTTTTCCGTTTGAATGATTTTACACTAGTAATTTTTTGGGGCCCTTAATAGCTTGCTGTTCGGTGTGAGCCAATGCTCAGTGTTGAAGGCCGTACCTAGAACCTATAATGGTTTACTTTGATAAATTGTAACTTGGATGGAGAGTTGTCTCATTGGCACTCATACCACATCTTCCTATATCTATTGTATTAATGAGCAATACAAGTACATGTTATGAAGATCATACTAATGATACCAATCTCCCAACATCACTCAGAGAATTCCTTGAAACAAAGCGATGGACAGACATGTTATGTAATGGATGTGTATGTACATAATCCACGCATACGATCCATAATGTTTTATAGTACCTGTTTGTTAATGGTTCACACAATCGGTCGCATTATAAATGTCTGTATATAGTCATTTGTGTTAACATGTTTGACATTTATTGTTATTATTCTAGTTGAGGGTTTCCCCAATGGTCATTATCTTTGGTCGTATGATCCCACAATACGACGTATTGTAAAAAATCTTCACATCTATACTATTAAAGGAAGAGACCGATTTCATTGAGCCGCAACTCCTCTGAAACCATACAAAGTCGGAAATATTTGTGATATGACGTATAAATGTAGTGTTTTGTACTTCCTAAACTTGTCTTTGAAACAATCATTTTTCCACAGAAAACGCCAATTTTTGAGAAAGTATCCAAATTCGGAGACCGTTATCGATCCGTGTCTTATACGCTTTCGCGCATGCTCAGTCGACGTACTGCCCGACAACTCGGCCCAAGGTCAACTCGCACCACTCAAACACCCTCACTACTTATTACAACTTGCATCACTTTATTAAACTCGCACCACTCCAAAAAAAAAAAAAAACGAAATATAACAAACTCGAAAAATGTGTTTAATCATTAGATTGTTTTCTTCTTCTCCTAGTTAATTCCTCCTTTCTCGGAGCACCCGTGTCACACAGAGACAGAACTCGCACCACTCGAAAAAAAAAATACTACAAACTCGCACCACTGAAGAAATATTTTAAATCATCAGAGAGTTCTAGATTGTCTTCTTCTTCTTCTCTGAGTTATTTCCTCCGTTCTTGGAGCACCCGTATCACACAGAGACAAGCTTGACTCGCACCTTTGAAAAAAAAAAAAAAAGAAATACTACAAACTAGCACCACTGAGAAATGTTTTAATCATCAGTGTTCTATGTTGTCTTCTTCTCTGAGTTATTTCCTCCGTTATAGGGGCACCTGTGTAAAACCGTGACAGAAGCTACTAACTGGACATTTAAACTCCTATGAAAGAAGAACTGCCAAACTAATAAAAACTATCAGCATAATGCATCAGTGCATAAAAACAGTTTGAGAAACACGAACCCAAGCTGTGTTTCACCATAAACATTTCAAGTAGTCTTCAAGCCGCGCTCGCGCGAGTTTTTTCTAGTAGTATAAAAATGTTCCACTCGACCAGAAGCATTTTTGCTCATTACTGAGGTGTGACGAATTACTACAAATGCCAAACTTGAGAATGATACCTATTTTGAAAATCTTCATACATGTAACTGGATATTTCTATTTATTTTTTTACAGATGCTTATCGGATGGACGGATTTAAATTATATGTGACCAATACATCAACTATTCCACCTGACGGTTATCTATGTTATGAAGATCCTGATCCTGGTCTTCCAAACATCACTCAGACAATTCCCTGTAATCAACTTGGAAGATATATCATATATTATGATACTAAAGGAGATGACAAAATCGGACCTGTGATTGAATTGTGTTACGTTGCCATTAATGGTAGGTTTTGTTTTCATCAGCAATAAATGTTATGAAGATCATATTAATGATACCAATCTCTCAAACATCACTCAGAATATTCCTTGTCATCATCTTGGATAATACATTATTAATTATGATACAACAGGAGACAAAAATATGGGACCTTTAATTGAATTGTGCTATGTTGATTTTAAAGGTTGGTTTCGTATTACTGTTTCTAGTATTTTCTTATCCCCACTGTGTAACTCTCTAACGCATGTTTGACTACACTTTTAACTATTATTTTTATTGTTTCCACTTTTCAAATTATATTTAGATTTCAGGTTTTAAAATGTTTTGACCTATACCATTAATGAAATTGAAAAATAAATATGTGCAGCCGTTTCATCACATGTTGGAAAGTTTAATGTTTAATTGCAGAGTGCATAATATTCAGCTGGGATCAGTCTTAACTTCTCTTAAAACCCGTCAGAGGAAGTTGTCTAGAACAGTATATAAAACAGTTTACCTGACAGCTTTAGAATTGTTCTTGGCAGGAGCGGTTCTACCCTAGAACAGTTTTTGGACAGTTCTAACCTAAACATATTATGACAGTTCAACAATAGAATATGTTTGGACAGTTCTTCCCTAAAACAGTTTTGGATAGTTCTTCCTCCAGAATTTTTTTTTATAGCACTTATTATATTTGTTTATTTAATCTATTCAATTTAATTGATTCATATTATTTATTCAATTCAGTTTTTATTTTATTACTCTTATTAATCGTTTGGTTTTCTTATTATATCTTTTTATTTATTAGCCGTTCTTTTTCTGTTTCTGTTTCTTTTCAATATCATAATATTTTTTACTAAGGTGTAATAACATTTACATTGTTATGAGTAATTATTTTGTATTGTTCATTTAAAACCCTCCACAAGAAAATGATATGATCATTATGTAATCTAAGTATTGCGTTTGTAATAAACACCTTTAATTATTTTCTCGGCCTGTATAATTGTCTTTCTAACATGACTAAAGAGAATATAGTGTTACATGTAGTATTTTGATAAAAATTACGAAAATATTAAAAGTATATATTCCTCATTACTTATTCATAATTATTGACAAATGCAATTGTTTTGATTAAAAAACACAAACATAATCATTGAGATATAATCTTGATAACAGAACTAAACATTCATCCAAGACTGTATTTGTTTCAGTATTTAATCCTTTATATCACAAATATGAATTACAGGGATCTGAAATATAACATTTATTTATATACATTACAAAAACATTGTTTACAGCCTATTGAGTAAGTGATTTTAATTCATATTCAAGAGAAATAAATCACTAATGTTAAATATGAAGGAAGTGACAACACATAATGTATCAGAAGGGCTATTGTTAATAAAAACCATATCGTTGGGAACTGTTTCCTGTATCAATAACATATATCATTTCTCATACTTACAGTCAGTAAGCTTTATGCAAATAAGAATCAATCAATCATATTTACATGACTTCCATCATCCAAATTTCCTTTTATTTATCTTATATTTTACCTTATTTTACATTTTGCAAACAAAAATATTCATTTATAATGTACCTTTAGCTATTTTCATATACATTCGTAATTTTTCCGTTTTAATGATGTAAAATAATGATAGGGTCACCGACTTCGTGTTTTGGTGTACATCATTCGAAGTGGTGTTCTATGTGAAAAAATACCACAAAACGTCGAAATAATCGTAACGTCATCGCGTTGCAAGCCGTAAAACTTAAATATTTGACATTTTTCACTACCAGCTAGGTAACAGATTGATTTAAAAAATAAACGAAGTCGGTGACCATATGATTATTTTGTTTTCTTAAAACGGACATTTCTGTTTCAACAACATACGAGTTTTTATGAGAATTCTATGAATTAGAAATAAGAGATTTGATGATTTAATTTAAAGACAAATTTAAGAGGGTTTCTCGCCGATTTTATGTGCTTTGTATACAAATGTTCACCCAATTTGAATGAATTTAAGCAGTAATATTTCAGATAATAAAAGAGATAAATGCATTATTTTTTTAGATTTTCAGTTATGGTTCAACAAGCCAAAGTTGTACGCAAAATTTTATCAAAACCTGTGACATTGCCCTTTTTCTGTTCCTTGACCTTACAGGCAAATGATAATAGAAATATTAAGTGTCTCATTATGACAACAGAACACGCTGAGAATTGCATCTAGTTACAGGATACTAATTGTACTGTTGCTGTCTTTTTTTTATTGTTTTTTTGTTTGTTTGTTACATGTAGATTTTTATAAAATGTCATCTGCAGTGTGCTTTGAAAAATAAAAACATAACTCATATATGTAAAGGGTCAGTAAACTTTCTTTCATATCTTAAAGCTTTGAGTAGATTGAGATAACGTTTTCCAATGTCGTCCTCTCTGTCAACTCAATTGACCAAAGAAAATCAAACTGGCATTCAGTAACTGAGAATACTCTTATGTTGGTGCTTTGTTTCTAATGTTTTTATGTTATACATTAGGCAGTTATTTTTCTCGTTTGAATTTATTAACAATTAACATGTCAGTGCCTTTCAAGGCCAACTGAACGGTATTAATTTTCTCATTGTTAAAGTCCGTACGATTGCCTATAATTGAGTATATTCACTCCATTTCAACCTTGGTGTATAGTTGTCTCATCGGCAATCAGACCAAATCTCCTTATTTGTATATCAATATGTCAAACATTTTCAAATTATATCTAAACATATATTTAGATATTTCATATTTATATTTGATATCCTGGCCGACAAATATCGCTGTTTTTAAAGACAATTGAATACAAAAATAGAATATCCAAAATGATTATATTTTATAAAAAAAATGTTAAATAAATATTTGCCAAAATTTTTATTCTGGTTTTGTCTGTTGTACTGTATAAATCTAGTGTGTGTCATGTGATATTCTTTTCTCTTAATCGTCAACAATTTCCTTCAAATAATGATCGTTCTCTCAGCTTTCAGATTTACAAGTTTATATTATCAAAGATTGAAAATAATTCACTATTTGGTAATGGGTTTTCAAAGACTATTCTATTGCAGTGAATAATATTTTTTTCATTTGTGTAACTATATAAAAACTGGTGGAAGCTGTAACATTCATCTATTTATTACCAGAAGTCACAATAAAACATTGCAATTTTAATCGTTTTCAAGTTATTCTGTATTTAATTTTAGGAACAAGACAAGTACTATCACTGGGCTCCGTTAGCCAAAACATCTACTAACTTATACAATAAAACTGACCGTAAAAGCTGCTTTTAAATTGTACTCTTAAGTATATTAATATTCTAATTGTAAACAAATACGATTTTGGCTTCATGCAATTCTGATTGTTTCCCCTGCCTTTTTTGTGCCTGTTATTATTGTGGCACGGTAAAGAAAACTAGTTCTGAAATCATCAGTTATACGATTCCAAGGTTGGATTCAATAGAAAATATCAGCACGATAACACAGGCAATGTGAATGATTTCAGATTGATATAAGTCAAGTGTCGTGTCATAGCTGTACATTTTTTTGCACGTAGGTGTGTTATGGTAATCGTTATATCATTCCCACAAAATGTTTTCTTAGACTTTCATGCAAAGGTTCTTTCTTACTGAAGTCAAAAACGCATCTGCAAACAAACATATATTATATATTCATTTTTTGAAATATTTATAGATGTGAGATAATAAGTTGGTAAATGAAAGGATTTACATAGTAAATGTATACTGAATCTTTCTTCCAGGATGCATGAAAGGTACTTGGGAAACAAACTGTACAGAGTCATGTCCATCAAAATGTACAGACCAACACTGTTATCCTGTAAATGGTTCCTGTATTTTGGGATGTGAAACACAAAACTGTTTAAACAATAAATGCAATATACAAACAGGTGTTTGTACTGAAGGGTGTGTAACTGGATGGGCCGGAGAGTACTGTACATTTATCAAAAGTTAGTATGTTTACAGCAGTTGCTTTTAATAAATCACCTGCCCACATAAACGTTGAGTTTATTAAATAATTCATGAGTATCACTTACATTTATTGTTTCTTATTTCGTAAAGCACTAAAGGTGATTTCTACAAAGTCAAAAAACTAACCAATACAGTTTCATGTAGGTTTGATTAAATATGAACAGGTTAATTAAAATGATTACAATTTACACTTTTCTGTCTCAATTATGTGTCGTATATGTCACATGACTTGACTTTGGGTTAAAATCAATATTTGTCTTTTGTCTAAGTATGCTTTTGGATTGTTGTAAATTGGATGCATATTCCAGATAGCATATTATTCATATATTTATATCTTGTACATTGTCATTATTATTTTAACTTTATTGATATGAGATAATAACTAACATTTGTTCATATATAAATATCAAATTAAAAATCATAATTTGAGTACTATTGCAAAACACGAAATGGATAACTTTTGCTGTTGATGAAGTACAAGTCTGTTATATTGCGTCAATAACAAAAATTGTAGTTATTACTTTGGTTGCAATGAATTACCGTGATTTCCCAGTGAGACAAAAGCCGATAATTTCATTGGTGAAATACACTTTGTAAGTTCACATGTGAAATAAACTCGATAGTTTTACATGCGAAATAAACTCGATAATTTCACTCCTCTGACGTCATACAACAATAAATTGTGAATGCGTAGAAAACGATATATTCCCTTGCATTTTCTACTTTTAAGAATTCAAATATCGAACAACACGTGACCGAACAACACTGATAATTAACTTATGCGCTATGCGCATTCGTGGATTAATGTGTTGTTTTGTCACTCGTTGAATATATTTCTGTATTTGATTTCTTCAACTACTAGTAGTTATTCAATAAATACTGTCATTCTTAAACAATTGACGCGTGAAATATTATTTGCCTATATGTTTTACTTCATGCTTTGCTTTAAATGTATACTAGAACTAGCATAATGCAGGCTTTAAGTGTATGTACATAGTATAAACATTTAGATATACACAATGATATATTCATTTTAAGTTATGGTTATAAACATGCTTTTCGTTTGTGTATTCAATTTTGCAAGTTCATCTAATGCCTGTCATACGTTTCGTGTTTTTTAAAAGACTCTTTATGAGGAAATGTTTCTTTTTTTTCTTTTTAATTATAATTTCGTAAGCGTACATCATGTTCAGCTATTTTAAGAGATATATGTGTATGCCTCGGTTAAAGAAAGACTTTATAATAGAAAATTACTTTGAAATTGTAATTTGCACAACTAAAACATGTTGAGTCAAAATAAGAAAAAACAAGAGTTTACACACATTTTATGCTATGTAATGGTGTTTATCTGCAGAAGATATTTTTTGTGTTTTTATAATAAAAATACTTCTTTCTTATATATATAATCAATGCAGTTTATTTCAGATGTTTCAGAAAATAAGAATCATGTATGTAACTCACATATTTAATCATTGTTAATTGAATATTTCCATACTTTAAGAGTGACTGTTACTTTAACCATTTTCTTTGTTTTTATTATCTTTCACAGTAATTTACTATTTTTATTTTATTTGTTTCTGCTATATAACATCCGCCAATTGGTCAACGACAATCTACATTATGATGGTACAGCCACACAAAATGATCATTATGATATTAATCCTGCAAGTTTGTAATCCGATCTGGCAATGGGACGTGCGGTATTTGTTCCAGAACATCTGAATATATTATAACTATAGATTAAATAACATTTTATGGTATGAATATTTGCAATTACTTATGGCATTATCAATTGCTTTCGTACAAAAATGTCGTAGAAAAAATAGTAAAACAAGAGTAAATCGGTACTAGAAGTAAACAGAGGAAATGTCTTAGAAGGGTTGACTATGGTCTACATTTGAGTAACGCCACCCAAATAATTCAGAGATGAAGACCGACGCTTGTAAGGGATAAACACTTTCTGACCCAATATCGATCATATTGTTCGTAATTTTCTTTTGTATTTTGGACATGGATTGTTTAAATAGAAAATGTTGACGGTGAAAAAGAATATAGGACTGTTAATATTAAATTAAGAATGTATTGACTTGTGCAAAAATATCGTACGGTCATGAATCAAAATAGGATTAGTAAAACGTTTTGAGAGATGATCCCAATATGTTTTTAATCCTTTGATAAGATTTCTGTTTTCAAACAAAACAAGAAACTAAAGCATGTAACAAAAGTGCATTGAACTTTTACCTTAGTATCAAAAGTTATTTTGAATGTAATCCTGCTGAACAAACTTAATTTAGAGAAAAGTCTTAGCAATACCAATTAAAATAAGAAGCTCATTGAGATTCGTTCTCTTAAATATAAGACGACCTTTTCATCAATAACAGCACCAGAACGTATTTCCAAAGAGAGACGCATTGTAAGTTGTATAACGAATATTACAGTGGTATACAACGTCTTATTATTTAAACTATGTGCGATTTGTTTCTCCCAGAAACAAACTCTATGTTTATAACACAAATTACTCCATTTTAAAAAATATGTAATATCATTAATTATAAAAATAAAAAGATTTGGTGTGATTGCCGATGAGACAACTCTCCGCCAGAGAGCAAATGACATCGAAGTTAACAACTATAGTTCACCGTACTGCCGTTAGCAATGAGCAGAACCCATACCGCATAACAATCTACAAAATGCACCAAAATGACAAATGTAAACCAATTAAAATGACAAAAACAATAAACGAAAAACAAATATGATAACAAGCGACAACCACTGGATAACTGGCTCCTGACATGAAACATGCATAAACAGAAATGCACATGTTTCGTTCATTATAATTCGAGACGTCGATGTAAACAATTTAATATCGACACAATATTTAAAGATGCTTCAAAGGAAACACGAGCGCTACAACTTTTTTAGAAAAGATAAATTAATACAAAATAAACGTCGCCTGAGAAATAGTTTGGTATGACGACTACCGAAAAAGAACGACCTATCATTATTAACGTTTTGCATAGTAATAGTCAAGCGAATAACTATCACTACATGAGAAAACAAATATTGATTGATTACAATAGATATGTCGTCTAAATATCTCTGATTGTTTTTGAAAATATCTATTGAGTTGTTCTAATGTTTTATTTCTAAGTTTAAGCATGAACTCTGATTTATACCAAACAAAATAAATGAATAAATATGAGATAACAGGGAGATCGTTACGTCCTTCGAAATATCAAGCACTTGTCGATAAAATGTATTTCTCGTACGAACAAAAATATTATAAAGCAAGAATATAACGATTTTTATTTATTTCTTTCAGTGTACATTAGTAAACATTGTACTTAAAATGAAAGGACTACCACAGTGTTATCATCAACAGATTATTATCAGCAGAGACTAATTGGAATTTCAACCTATTTGCTTATCAGATTACATATCAAAGACATGTTGATATTCCCAATATAGTCTAAACCGAGATTAGCTATAATCATTGTTAATTCTGTCAAAATAATTGTCCTGTTTGATAAAGAGTTGTTCAACAGTTGTCTCAGAAGAAGACACTTTTTGTAAATGTACATTTACTAGACATGTATTTTGCGTGATATTGCATTTGATAGATTCTACGTTTTTTATATTATTTTTTGGCGTTAAAAAGACGATTATTTATCCCATATATGGATTTTTTACCATGCTGATTACCAAAATCCTCTTGACCAAAATAAAGTATGCTGATGTTTATGTAGATCAACGATTTTTATGCATGGCTTTGATGAAAGTAGAAACATTGTTATATAGGGGTTTGTTCAATAGAAATATTGTTACAAATACATAATCGAAATTCTAAAATAGACTCCATTTAGTATTGTATATAAACATGATAAATAATATCATACATTCGTGTCGTCACCCACAGAAATTCCTTGCTTTGATTTAAGATATCAGCGTATTGCACCAACTTGCATATAAAATAATTGAATTAACAACTGTTTGAAATCAGAAAAAAGTTATAAACAAACGTAGCAATGTTTTATATATTAATGCTTTCGAATCACATAGACAAACTGCTAAATGTGATATTCATTCATTCGTTCATTGAAAGTTCAATTTTTAATAAAATAGTGATACAAATAAAGTTTTGGAAGTGTTCACTTTGAAACACGCCAGGGACAGGTCACAACAGGAAAATTGTAGTAGATGTAAAACATTGAAACCTTACATACAGTTTTACTTTATTAATAAGCTTCAAGTTGGTCTTTTTCCTGTAAATTATTGAATCAAAAGAGCTGATATTTTACATTGGAAATGGTGCATGTAATTTCTTTCAATAGAATAAACACGAAAAACGGAAAACACGTGAAGTGAAAATTTTCCTACTTTTTGGGATAACATTTGTCCGCATTTTCTTTTTCTGGACAATACACATTTATAATTCAACGTGACAGCATTCTGGATGAAACGTACAACCAAAATTACATCGAAGAAAAAAAAAACAACTCATCACAGATACCAGGCTCGTAATTTGGTACGTCATGTTGGAAGTCCAAATCAAATACGAAGTTTAGAGCATCAAAAACCAAAACATCCGAAAAAGTGTGCAAATACGGCGTAGGCCATCTATATCTGGAGGATCTTGGTGTTTCGAAAAGATCTACATTTTATAAACAGTCAATGTTTAGAAACCGAACATGTCTGATTCAAATGTATTTCATGTCAACACTAAAGAAATGACTATCAGGATGTGAATGTGATAGTAACTAGCTGTTGTAATATCCGTGCGTCGCTGATGAGAAAGAATATAATCATCGCTTCACTTCATAACAGCTTAAGTCTTGCTCAGTCTTTAGTTTTCTATGTTGTGTTGTGTGGATTATTGTTTGTCTGTTGGTCTTTTTCTTTTTTAGTTATGGCGTTGTCAGTTTATTTTCGACTTATGAGTTTGAATGTCCCTTTGGAATCTTTCGCCTCTCTTTAACATGCACA